CCCACCCACACACACACACACACGAATCTGCACATACATGCATGCATGCATGCATGCATGCATGCATGCATGCATGCATGCATGCATGCATGCGTACATACATACGTACATACATACATACATACAGATGTACATATGTACATACAAACAAACAAACATACATACATTCATAAAAATGCACATGCACAACCATGCGTACATGTCCATTTGTTTGTTTAACTGCTTGCTTCACATGTTGCTGCACATGCTCATGTAGTTCTGCGAGCACACGCTTCAATCTTAATGTTTACACATCCTGAGGTTGGTCCAGCAACTTCGTTTGCCGTGTCTACGTGCCTGCACAATGTGCCCGTGTACGTTGTGTCTGCATGCGTGTGACTCATGCCAATGCACGTGCCCACGCACACCCGCCTACCCACCCACCCACACCCACCCCCACACCCACACCCACACCCACACCCACACGCGCACCCGCACCCGCACCCGCACACGCACACGCACACACGCACACGCACACGCACACGCACACGCACACGCACACGCGCACACACACACACACAGACACAGACACAGACACAAACACACACACACATAGAGAGACACACACACAGACACACACACACACAGAGACACAGAGACACACACACACACAGACACACACACACACACACCCACACAGACACACACACACACAAAGCACACACACACACAACGCACACCCACAAACACACACACACACACACAAACACACACACACACCCACACACACACACACCCACACAGACACGCAGACACGCACAATCACACACACACACACACCCATGACGTTTACCTGTGCCGCTTTGCCATGATGGCTGGGGTTCATGTTCAGTGTGTTCTTGGAAGTCTTAGTCCGGGGCCTTGATTTTAACGTTTTGGGTTGAGGGTGCTACTTGCCAGGGTGGTCTAGCATAGGGAACCAGACTGAAACATTTCCAAGTCCGAAGTTCGCAGGTCATAGATTTCAAGACCTTCCAGAAGCTCTGCAAGCCCCGGAAGTCGGGTGCAGCTGGTAGCGGACACTGATTATCCGAATTCGCTGTCAATTCCCTCTTACGGCTACTTGGTCGGGCTGCGCCTAGGCCCATGTTCAGTTCTGAAGGCAAGATGCTTGAAGCTAGCGACAAGCCAGAGATGCAGTGCAAGAAGTAAGTTCTACCACATTTCACCCGTTGCGAAGCAACACTTTAGAAGAGGCTAACATGTCCTCTGGAATTCCGTCCCCGCGACATCTGAAAGCCAGCTTTGCGGATGCTACTGTAAGTTGACCAACATGTTCCATTGCTGCAGGGGTGTTTCTTTTCGGGGAAGAAACAGCCTGACTCCCCCAAGTCAGTGATGAGCCTACCAGTGTTGCCGAAGTGCTTCGAAGGTGGTCGGAGTGTGCACGAACTTCCGACATGACTTCAGAGGCATCTCTAGGATCCCAGCAATCAGGCCTTCTACTAGAGTGCAGAGTTGCGCCATCTGGTGGTGTGTTGATGCAGGGGAGATGTCTAGACTACCGTTGGATTGCCGGTACTCTTGCATCGATGATCTTTGGACTGCAGGCATGTTCGAGAAGCCATCCGCGACACGAAGAAGCAGATGCTGGAGCCTCCTGGCCGCAAGTGCGAGAGGCCGTGAAAACTGATCCATCAAAGCCCTCTGGCTGGAACAGCGTCGAGCAGCTCAGCCCTTGCAGGGTAGCCGTGCTGTAGTCGGTGTCGTAAGAGGATGACAGCATCCATGAAACTTTCCCAAACGGCCAAGACAGGAATTCCTGGCTCCGTTTATGACCTGTGAGTTTCCATGCTCTCTTTCTCATTGTCAGGCGAAAGATCTCGCATCTGTCGGAAGCCCGGCTGACAGGGCTTGCACTGATTTCGCGACATTGTGATTCTCATGGAGCCGTGCTGCCTTGGACCAGCGATCCGAATCAACGCGAGGAGAGCTGCAGGAGACTGGATTCTTAGGCTGGGGGTGTTGGCAAACCATCAATATGGAGAAGCCTAGCGGCCTTAACTCACACTTCGGCAATGGCGGCAAAAGACCTTGTCCTGCAAAGCGCCAACAGGATGAAGGCTTGGAGTTTAGGGCTTAGCATACGAACGAACACAGACACAGACAAACACACCTACACCTACACATCGTCCCTTCCTCGTTCACCAGTTTGCGATACCACGCGTGTCTACAGCTGAGGCGCTTTCTTGTTTGCGGTGGCGACGGCACGGTCACGTGGGTCCTCCATGAACTGGAGGCAAGTCTGCACGATGGTGACCTGAAAGGCTGTCTAGGAAACGGTGACTTTATTGCCATCCTGGCTGCAACGAACTTTGCGGATTTATCCTATAAAGCTCAATGAAACTTCCGAGCCGCTCTGGGGCTGTGGCCAGGCTTGCAAAGAAGAAAACCGCCATCTCTTCACCACGCAGAACGAGGCCTCTTCTCTTCAGATCTGTTGTGAGCCTCAAGAGCTGACCTGATGCCTTGCGCAGGTGACCCACATGTGAGGTTGCTGCTTTGCGCAAGATTCTCCTTCATGTTTCTTTTGTGACTATTGCCAGGAGCCAGCCGTCGGTGTCGTGCCAGCTGGCACCGGAAACGACCTGGCCCGTTCGTTAGGCTATCCGCGGCTCTCAGTGTGTTCGTTTCTTTCCTTGTTCATTCCCTTCGGCTCCAACTACTACAGTTACTACAGCCTTTCCATACCCCTCCCTTTCAGTTGCGGTGATCGTAAGAACTGCCAATCCGACTGAGCCTGCAGCAGGGGGAAGTTGGGGAGCCTTTCTTGCAAACAAGGCTTAAGCCGAATTTCAGCCGAATCCAAACCCCCCCAAATTGTCATTGCAGGAGTGAAATTTCCTGCAACACCCAGGAGACCCCGAGGTTCAGACGCATCGAGTATGTGATTTCGAGCACGATGCCTGGGAAAAGCCAGCATTTGCAAGTCTGCAAACCTTGTTTGTCTTTTGCTGCCTGCCTGCCGACATTTTTGAACAGTCACCTTATAGTTAAATGGCAGGATCCCTTGCCATTAGACGCTGATGAAAAAATGACTTCTTGAGTTTCGTGAAACGTCCGAAGCCTTCGGAGATTGACAGGCTGGGGGCCGAAGCTGAAATCAGTGGCGGCTCTCGTCGGTTATGTACAGCAAGGACCTTAAATTCAGGAAAAAGACCAGGAGCTCTGAGCGCGTGATGTGTTGCAAGCGGCTCCTGATTCCTGCTCTCTGTGTGTACCTGTGGGCATGCCGTCGACTTTGCTGTTCTGCAAAACGGCTCACCTTCAAGCTCCTTTCCAGATCCTCAGCCTGCGCCAAGTGAGGGTTCAGCTCCTGCCAGACAGTGGCTTCCATGAGGTGGGCCCTGGCTGCAGATATCGTGCCACTGGACCAGTGGCAGGCAAGGCATGGATGCACGTAGTAATGTTCTCAGAGCTTTGGATTCAAGTTGAATCAAGTTGAAGCACTGCACTTGTAGCAAGCAGCCGCGACCGAATCGCAGGTGACGCTAACCTTCAGTCAGGGGGACCTCGTCGCGAATCACGTGACTGACCTACGTGTGCACGAGTCTCAGGAGCTTAGTCTTTGGGCTATGACATTTAAGCGGTAATTTAAGGTTCAAAGGTTTAGGGTCCAGGGTCTATATAGGGTTAACCAAGAGGTGCATGGAGAAGATCCCTTCACTCCACCTCTCTTTCCATGAGTAAGCCCGGCAGGCCAGCTCAGGGTAAGGGTGGGAGCTTGGAGATCTGCAATTTTGGACACATCTCGAGCTGGATATGGATGTAAACGGGCCAAAGCACGCTTTCGGCCTAAGAAAGCTTCAAGACTGGTGGATCGCCCACTCGAACTTTCAACATGATCTCCACCCAGTGTCACAAGCCTCTCCCTGTGCTTTTCGATTTGGGCATTTCCTTTCTTGCTCAAGCCCCCTCTGGTGTACAGTCACCCGACCCCCAAAAACGAGCCGGTGGACAGCATCATTGTTGCTGTGGTTGTGGTTGTGGTTGTTGTTGTTGTGGTTGGACATCGTGCGATTAATTACCATTGTTGTTTTTGTGGTGGAGAGCCTACGCTTCAGACCTGAGGCCACCTGCATTCCGAGAGGCCTCTGGGAAGCTCTGAGGGTCTAAGCGTTCGTTGAAAAATGAGTGCTGTGAGGGATGTGGGGGCCGGAATAATTAGAATGGGGTTTGGGGGTCTATTGTACTATAGAAGGTGTAGCGGTGTAAAACGGCACCCAGAATAGTATTGGTAATTGCTTGGGCCGTTCTATGTACGGCAGCCTGCTGATCTGTGATGAGGTTGTTGTTATATGCCCGCTGGTTCTGTGATGATGCCGGCTCATGGTGTTGCGATTTGGGATTTTTCTCATGGTTGAAGATACAGCCAGCATTATATACAAACATTCGAATGCTTCATGCTGCTCATCTTACGCGAGGCAAGCGAGGGGCTGAGGATGATTTTCAGACTATTGGCGTTAATGTCCGTGGTTGCATGTTTGCTACCAGTGTGGCGCTTTCTTCAGACCAGAGGGCATCGTAGGTCCTAGGTCTCGAGTCTTTGAGACCCCGCCCATAGTTGAACCGCTCCTGGCCCTGTACACTGCACCTGCCGAAGCCTGTCGCCCGCCTGTTCGACGCAGAAGCTGTCTTCTCCAGAGAAGCGGTGCTTCGCTTGCTCCTGAGAGCATAGCTGCACTTATAACGTTTAGCTCCCTAGCGTTGGTAGAGGTTCAGTGGGACTGTCGTGCTGGCAGTTTGGGAAAAAGCAACAAGATAGAATTCACGCCGAAAGAGCCTAAGTTTATCTCGGTGACATGGGGCACGGCTTTGTCTTACCAGCAAAATCCATGTTGCAGAGACAGTGGTTGAGCCCTGACATGTGTATTTCGCCTGGGACTGTGGATATGGGGTTTGGTAAAAAGGCCCGGAAGCCAGAGTCGCAGCTGCTTAGGAGGGCTACTTCCAAAACTACTTCTCCATTGGCATGGATGCCAGCGTCACGTATGGGGCACCTGGCTAAGTGCATGGCATGATGTATTTAGGACGTGCATCGGTCTGTGTGGCGATAGAAGAAGGTCATCCAGAGTTTGGAGTCAGCGAGTGCTCAACCTTGCTACCTGTGTTTCGGCTGACATCACACCTTTTGCTCGGAAGGTGGAGCGTGCGCGAAAGTCATGCCTAGGCCGGTGTCTGCGTGGGGTTTCCATGTGCCTCCTGGTAAACACAAGCTGCCGCTGCAAATTTGTGGGCGGATGCGCGGGGGGTCACAGGGAGCAGGGCCCGTTTGGAAGCAGGATCCCCTTCAGCCTTGTATTGATGCTTTCTGCTTCCGTTCACCACGAAAAAAGCCCGAGAACGCGGGTTTGCCAAAGGTGCGAGGGGCCTGACATGAGAGAGCGATGTTTCTCTGCAGCCGAAGTCACTTGCCGTGGCCAGGGTCAGGGGAGGCTGGGCCAGGCAGTGCGCGTTAGGAGGCTTCAGGGCCGGCGGGGTTCCCACCTAAGTGTCCAGTTAAAATTAAAGAAGAGAGAGCCTGATAGCAACAAGTCCCTCGTATCAGAGCTTGCAACATCATGAAGTCGCTTGGGCCCGAAGGCCCCATGCTTCAGCAGGCGGAGATGCCTGTGCCAGGTCGACTTTGCTTCCTGTTCGGCTGCGGCAAGGTGTGCTATGGAGTTCAGGCGTGCTTTTTTGCTTCGTGGTCCTTCCATGCCACGTCGGCAGCCTGATCGGTACAGAGTCGTAGAAATTAGAAACATTCTGTACAACAGTTGCTCCATAAACACAAAAGCTGCGTGTGTGTTTGTGTGTGGCATACGTGGGTATGTGTAGGTGCGTGTGTGTGTATATATTTTTTGTAGTTCTGCACCCCGTTTTAAGTCAACCTTCGCACTGTCCCAGGTTGGGTTGGATACATATGTAGCCCATGTTTTTCGGACAAGGCTTGTTCCAGGAGGCTGGGAATGCTTGCATCGGAACCTTTTGTGTTTCTATGCGTACAGCCCCACGCACATTCAGACACTGTTGTTCACAGGTTTCCGCGTGCACATAGATATGCGCGAGCTATTTTATTGTTTAGACTTCGATCACGTTATCCAGCGTGGCGTTGGCCAGTAGCAGAAACAGTGTTGATATAGAGATGCCCGTGCATGTGAGCAAATCGAAACAGGCACGTATTTGTCTGCGTGTGTGATTGCATGTGCTTGTCTGCGTTACGTGCTCGTACATGTAGACAGAACCGACTGTCGGTTGTTGGATGAGGTTGCCTGCCACGCTTGTGCTGTTTCCTGCAGGCACATCGGTTGCAGTGCTGCTGCTCCCCAGCGCCATGACCCCACAATGTCGCTGAGGGTCTACATTCGGCCTGTCAGCTTACAGAGCTTGCTTTTGGCAGTTTGCTGACATTCAACTGTGGACTTTGGACAGCCGTTAGGATTTTCACAGGGGTTGGCCCAAGTACGGAGCAGCCTACATGCTCATGGCTTGCAAGCAAATGGATTAGGCTAATCTTGCGCAGACTCAGGCTCAGCTTACAAGACGGCAAGCAGGGGCCCCTGCCAAAGAAGAATCATTCGCAGGATCTTGTCGCTTCGGTGAGCTTGGTTCTGGGGAGCGTAGTGGGCAATAGGAGTGTGCGGATTTCCCGAGGTTGACGTTGTGGTATGTGTAGTGGCCCATCTCCTCGTGGATGCTCTACAGTATCACTGCCGTAGGTGAAGCATCTGTAGTTTCGGGTTCTCGGCTTCTTCGGGAGCTGTCAGCTCGAGCTGTCAAGAGTTCTTCCGAGCTCGCAGCTGTCAGAAGACCACCGGGGTCAAGCTGCGCATGCCTATGTCGCACGACTTGACGCCCACGGATGGCGCAGCATGTGCTTGCAAGTCACTTGCAGTGGAAGTGTAAAACTGCTACACTGCTACACCAAACCTCTACTTGTCCTACTAAATCTGACGACATCTCAATCCACATGATCAATGCATCGTGTGCCGCGATGCAAGCCTGTGGCAGTTTGAGCTGTGCATTTTAAGGGTAATGCAGTCTCTTGATTCATGATGTGGCGAGAAATTCGCTTCTTCTTAAACGGGTGCGTTCGTTTGCAGTGACGGACATTTTGCAGGGTGCAGTTGCGAACCAGCACGTCGCCGCCGCCTGCCGCAACGACACCCTGGGTTTCTCACGAGGCAACGTGGCATGTCGAAAGAAGTGATACAGAAAAGCTGATGCCACGAAGGTCGCTCAATTTCCCAGGCAGGCCCCGACCTTTTGCCTGATGCCTTGTCCAAGGTGGAAAGAACTCGTCAGATCACCTTGCCGCTCGACAGCTGACCAGGAGTTGGACATGAAGACATTCCATGACGCGGAACACAGTCTGTTGAAGTACAGGACACTGCCATTTGAGGGGCCCGTGCTTCGTTTAGCGGGCAGCTCTGGGATCAAATGTACATATCATAGTCCTTTCACATGGCTACAGGTGAGGAGAAGTCCTAGCTGAAGATTCATTTAGGGTTCATTTTAGGCTTGGCCCTGCATTCTTCGAATTTCCGGGGGGCGTTGTCCGGTTCGAATTTTAGCGTTCATGCTGACCGCTGCTAAGCGGAAGCCCGAGGCTGAACATCAATTCTTATGGCTCTGGCAGCCCGGGGCCCAAACTGCGACAGAGCGGCGCGTCTTGCCCTCACCGTGTGTACACTGTTCTGTTCTGGCAGGGCCGGCTTGTCAGACCTCGTATTGCGCTGGGGGGAATTCGTTCTCGATAGAGCTGCAAGAACAGGCGTCCTTCAGCAGCCGTGTCTCTGTATGACCGGAGACTCCCTAGCATGGCATGCTACGGTATGAACCGCTCCAGGGGTGGTGCTCAACCACGACGACCTCCTCGACACGTCGCCTTCGGATCAGTTGCTGGAACTGGCCGGCAGCCCCAATTTTCCAGTCTTTCAGCATGATCATGTAAAACCTATGGAGGTTCATGGGCCATTCTGATTGTGTGTATGGGTCGATTTAGCCCCAGCAAGCTGCGCTATGAGGCCACAGTGCAATGTCCGAGAACTTGGCGTGCGCAATTTAATGCATTTTCGCACACCCGGCATACCGGGATGCAGCTATGTCTCAGTTCGTGACGTTTGGGGATCGCTCAAATTTAGTTTGCGCATTTATGCCTGTGATACATGATTTTAACTGAAAGTCATGCCCTGCCCATCGAATGAAATTGCTGCATGACTTCTCAGCCGCGGAGCACCTCCCAGCAGAAAGGCTTCCACTGACACAGGCTGCTTGACGGCGCCGCATTTTCGGTATTGCGGCCTGTCATGCGGGATGCTGCCTTGACTCAGATGTGATCCGGGCGGCCGTTTTGGAAGATGTGAAGGATTAACCTGGTCGCAGGTAACCGTGCGGAATGCATGTTCCTTCGGATGCGTGTGGCCGGCACACTTAATGCACCAGCAACAGCGCTAGTAGTCTGCTAGTGGGGAAAATGGTCTCGATGGAGCCAGGTCATGGCTGGAGGCACTGCGCAGGTACACAGCAGTGCTGAGAGGTTTGTTCTGAGTCTGTGGGGCACGTACATTACACATACTCTCAATACCGGATGGCATGTCTTGGTGTATCTTACGAGCTGCTTTCCTGTCAAGGGCCTCACCCTCCGCAGCTGTGGGCTCGGCCTTTGCAGCGAGGCCAAGATGACGGCGACAGTCAACTACCCATGGCCAGGCAAAGGCAAAGGTAGCCAGGCCAAGGGTGCATGGGGCAAAGGCGCCAAGGGCAGATGGTCCCGTGAGGCCTGGAAAGGCTGGGGCAAGGCCGCAAGTGCCTGGGAGAAGGGAGCTGGACTCAAAGGTAAGGGCCGGGGGCGGGGGAAGGGCAAAGGTCAAGCTGCGTGGACCTGGAATCAGACCTTGCTCATGCCCGGCGATGTCGTGCGCCTGCGGCGATTCGATGATCCCGACATTCACATCGGCCCGCTGACCGTCTCAAGCCTCGCACAGGACCCAGAGCGATTGCACGCTGCTGCCATTGCAACGACCGCGGCCTGTGAATAAGAACAAGAGCTAGGGGACGTCAACAGCAGCTACCGCCACCACCACCAATAGCAACCACATCCACAACCAGCACCGCCACCACGACAACCACAGCAACCACGACACGACACCCCACCACCACCACCGCCGCCGCCGCCGCCGCCACAACCACCACCACCACCACCACCACCAACAACAACAACAACAACAGCAACAACAGCAGCAACGGCAACTGCAAACTGCACTTGCAACAACAACATCAACAGCAGCAGCGACAACGACAACAACAGCGACAGAGACAGAAACAGCAACCCAGCAATAACAAAGCCAATGGTAGCAATTGTATCACGTGTAATAATGAGAGGTAAGGAGAAACTAAAAATCACCTTTATATGAATAACGAGAGCATTGATTACGAAAAAGTTATCAGAATTCAATAATATACAAGGACAAGAACAAGAAAAGCAATATCAACCGCATCAACACAAGCAACAGCAGAACCACAAACAGTAATTTCCAAAAACACCAACAACAGTAACGTCAGCGAAAACACCAACACCGACCGCAAATGCAGGCGTGACCACCACCTACCTACGGTGGCCTATAGCCCACGCCCTCGCTGTTTCGCACATGCGTGAGGGACCTGTTACACGCATGGCGGGAGGCTTGGTTTCACTCAACCAGCACGTTTTATGCTGATGTCAGATGTCTCGGCACACTACGACCGTAAGCAGGAGGAGCAGAGTTCGCGACGCAGATCAGCATGCCAAATGCGCACACTCTCGCAGTCTTTAGGAACGACCCATGTGGAGGCAGCGCAAAGTCTTGTAGAATGATAGTGGGCCTGTGCCGCAACGGCCAGTGAAGGAGCAGGAGCACGGATGGCTACGCTACACAGAACATGTTGAATTTTCTGGGATGCTGCTGGTCAGTGACTGTGGCAAACATCCACGTTCTGAGTGTATGCCTTCAGCGACTATAGGCGGCCTTGGATAAGGGTGTGGAAGCACTAGTTGGCTCCTGTTGATCACTCTGCTGCATTCTGTTGTTCCATACGTAGTCCGTACACCTTTGCCTGCTGCCCCCTATAATCGCACTTAGATGCCGCCCAAGAAACGATTTGGATGCAGCAGGACATCCTGTGCTTTCAGTCCGAGTCCGGATACCTGCGGCTGCAGAGGAGAGGCGGCGACCTCCAGGGTAAGCGAGGCGGAAGCCGCACATTGCCCCTCGATCCGAGATATCCGAGCCAAGGTGGAGTCTTGTAGGCAAAGCTTGCGGCTTTGAGGTGTTTTTAGCCACGAGAATGATTGTGCGTAACGAGTCTTTCCTGTGCTGGGGTCAGGCCTTCTTTCGGAGCTGGTCTCCGAAGTAATGCAATGGAAAAATTGCTTGTGCCCTTTCAGTTGGACGTAACTGCTAGAAGGGGACTGCTTGCTGATCATAGTTGCACTCAGGGGCCCGGCGCTTTTAAATCTGGTAATTCCTGGGCCCTTGGTGCCGAAGCAGCCAAGGTTCTCAGTTTCAAGGGGCAGCGCCTTCGAAGACCGGGAGGTCGTCCTGTTCGGACAGGCCGTAGGGATGTTCCTGACCATTGAAGCAGATGGTAGCATTGGCGCCAGCGTGTCGCGCAGATCGTTGCTCTGCGAGTGGCTGACCTCCGGATCCGAGGAGATTCGGTCGGAGGCCCCGGAGTCACCCGAGGCCTCGGAAGGCCTCCGCAATCGGCTTCCAAAGGCCGAGACTGAGACCGAGCCGGAGTCTCTGCCAAAAGCCGAGGCGAAAGATCAGCAAACCCCAGCGCCCGCAGAGACGACCGTCTTTGAAGATGCTGGCGGACTCAATGAGTCCTTGGAGCCGGAAGCCTTTTGGGCAAAGGAACTTCAGAACGCACCTATCTTTGAGCTCAACTTCCCTCCGCTGCACCCCTTGGATGCGTACTTGACGCACGAAGTGGGCAGAGCGCATCGGATTCTTTCCGGACAGGTGGTCCCAGAAGTTGTGCTCGCCGCATGGGTCCTTTTGCTCTGTCGGTATTCTCGCGCGGAGGAGGTACTGCTTCTGGTCTCCCAGGACAGTCCCGTGGCTTTGCGGCTGGCAAGCTTGGAGCAGTTGTCACTACAGCAAGCCGCAGATGCCTACCGCAATCGTTTGGCAGATGCCAGGTCCTGTTGGGCCCATGTTCCTGCGGATATACTGAAGTGCCGTGTGGGCTTTCTCTTCGGGCCAGCGACGGATCTTGACTGGACAGCACCTTGCGGCCAAGGCCGGCTGATGCTGCAGCTGCAATGCGAGCCTCAAGCCGAAGGCCTTGCATGTACCTGGGCTCTTGTTCAGAATTGAATAAGTTTTACAATAATAGGGAGTTGTAGCAAATAACATGCTTTCTCTAATTATGTTTCTTAAATGGAATCATTAACAAGAACCCAGGTACTCTTCTCTTTGAGCAAGGCTTGCTCAGCACGGCAAGTGCCGCACGGGCCCTGGAGCATTTGGAAGCGCTGCTCTCCACGGACCTCACTTTGCCAGCGGGGCTGTTGGAGGTCTGCAACGAAATGGAGCAGTGGATGTTGCTGGATTGGAGTGATCAAAGATCAGAGAGATACCTTGACTCTGGCAAATGCATCCACCACTTCTTCCAAGAACAGGCCTCTGCTGTGCCCAGTCGAACGGCAATTATCGAAGACTCCGAGTCTTTGACTTATGCCCAGCTAGCTGCAGAAGCAGGGCAGGTAGCTTCAGAGCTTCTGTCGGCCGACGTCACTGTAGATAGCTTGGTGCCACTGATGTCCCATCGCTGCACGGAGATGATCATTGCGATCTTCGGCATCCTCTTTGCTGGCGGTGGGTATGTTCCCTTGGACACCAAGTGGCCAGACGACCGTGTCATGGAGGTGATCTCGCAATGTGCTCCACGTGCTGTCTGCGCCGGCCCAGGCTTTGCAGTTCGCCTACAGTCCCTCGTAAAAGAGTTGAGCACCTGCCAGATCTTGGACATCAAGCGGAAACAATTGAAATCTCTCAGCGCACCTATGCGAGTCGCGTCCGAACCCAACAGCACCAATGCGGTGTACTGCTTTTTCACTTCGGGATCTTCAGGCAAGCCCAAGGGTGTGGTGGTGGAGCACCGTGGACTGGTGCACCGCATTCTTTGGTTTCAGGACCGGTGGCAAATGCGTCCGGGCGAGTGTGGAATCCTGAAGCACAGCAGCTCGGAGTGCCACAGCTTTCCTGTTATAGACATGAATCTATAGGCAAGAATCTTAGGCCTTAGGGTCTTAGGGCCTTCGAAAACAACAGCATTTGTAATCTAGAAGTGCTGATGGAACTGCCCGAGGGTCTATAGAGAATTGTTCAGGCTACACCTTCGGCTTGTCCGAGTGGGAGATCTTCTGGCCACTCTCCGTGGGTGGTACGCTGGTCCTCTGCCGTCCGGACGGGGAAAAAGATATGGAGACCCTCGGCTACCTTATTGAGGGATCCTTAGAATTGGGATCCGGCTGTTCTGTTTGGCTTTATGTCAGGGTTTGTTTGGGTCTGGTCCCAGAAAGGCGCAGGTTGAGGCGAACACCAGCGCCGTTCACTCGCACCCTGTTTCCAGCTTGCTGCCTTTCAAGCTTGCTTCAGCTTGGCGCACCGTCTGCACCAGGCAACATGAGAAGATAAATATCACTCCCTCATGAGACGAAGCTGATGACAAACAGCTTTAATATCAACAGTCTTCGCGTGGTGCCGCTTTGAGGCTGAAGGTATTTTCGGGCTATGAGGCACAGCTGGCCTCATAGACTCTCGCCTTCCAGGTACTTGTGGCAGCTCTCTGAGCAGTATCGAGTGCGGACCCAGGCTTGCACGCTGGGTTCATGTGCTGCATTTTTGCAAGATAGCTTACATTTCGCGGTTGCAGACTGCAGGGGCAAGCCTCGTGGCCAAGCCTAGTGGGCCTAGTGAAGAAAGATCACCGTCATGCCCATGCGATCCGACTCTGAGTAGGTAAACTGCATGAACAAACGACCTTGCCCGACAGGCACTTGGCCGCCATGCGCTTTCACTTTTAGCCTTTGCTAGAGCTTCTGTGGGTGCTCCAAGCCCAAAGTAGGTCGATCCGAACTCGCAATGCTCGAAGCACTGCCCCGGCAGCCGTGGACCCGGTTAACTGGTTTTGCTGCGAGTCGCAGGTCTTCGTGCCCTCGGTCCTCAGGGCATTGCTGGAGTACGCAGAGCTTGAGTTCGAAGACCAGCAGGCTGTGGCCACTGTCTTGGCTGCAACTCGACCGAGGCTTCGGAGGCGCTGCATCTCACTTTGCCACTGACAGGTAAAGCTTTGGCCGGACCTGAAGGCAGCCATCACCTGTGGCGAGGCCTTTGACTACGGGTCATTTACAAGTGTACGGACGAGGAAGGGGGATGGGAGGGTCTGGAGTAGCTGTACATCTGTGACCAAGGTGGGGTTTAGAATTTGGAACACAAGTGGCTTGTGAAGGCTTTGCCGCCAAGCCTCGCGCAGCAGTTCTTCGACTTCCTGCCGCATGCCACGCTGGACAACCTCTACGGCCCTACCGAAGGTACTGTGGCAAGAGTTTGCTTCCTGCGTGGGACCGGGAATTCCGTTTGCAAAGCTTCGTTTGCTAAGCTTCTCGCTTTGGCGAGGCGAAATGACCGTTTGGCGGCTTCCCATGGGCCGCATTTTGCACCTTTGCTGGCAAACTGGAAGGGTTTTGCAGCAAAACCGTGTGTTTTTGCATTGCCACTGCCATCTCCCGGCAGGCAAAGCATGCCGATCGGAGAGCCCATGGAGGGCTCCAGAATCCTAATTTGTAGCTCTGGCGGTTTGGCTGGTGTCGGGGAGCCCGGGGAGATCTACTTCGGAGGTGACTTCATTGCACGAGGCTACCTGGGCATGCCGCAGCTCACAGAGGAGAAGTTCGTCCTCGATCGTTTTCTGGGTGCCGAGGGCACGAAGCTGTATGCTTCGGGCGACCTAGCCAGGCCAGGCCGAGAAGGAAGAAGTAAACTACGGGAATCCTAAGTTTCGGAGGAGCAGGGTTTTCTGCACTTGACCAAAAGAGACTACACGTGGAATCGAACCCATGGCCATGCGAACTGACACGATTGGAGGTGGAGGGAGTCTGGAATTCTGGACTTCCTTGGCCGGGCCGACTTCCAGGTGAAGCTGCGGGGCTTCCGCATCGAGCTGGGGGAGATCGAGGAAGTCGTGTGAAGTCTCTGTACAAAATTGTTGAGATATAGGTATTCACTAGAGTCACTAGAGCGAGCGAGAGAGAAAGAGAGGGAGCGACGTGTCAGCGTCAGTGTCAAGTGTCAGTGTCAGAGTGTGTATGCGCCTGTGTGTGTGTGTGTATGTGTGCGCGCGCGCGCGTGTGTGTGTGTGTGTCTCGTGGCATCAGGAGGCATTGCGCGCGGCAGGCGCCAAGAATTCCGTGTGCATCGTGGTTGGGCGCCTGGGCTCGAAATCTCCGTCCCGGCATGATAAGGATAAGCCGACGGCTTGTCTAGCCTAGCTCTAACCTTGAAACATGTGGGTGAATGCAGACGCCCTTCTTTTCATAGCCCTTCCCTCGTTCGTGCGAATGCCGTGTCTGTGAGCATCTGCAAACAAATACGCAACAGATAACTGCTATATTAGCGTGTGCGCATGTATGTGGCTACGGGCAGCAAGAGCAGACATTTCCCGATGCATGCCCGAAAACTATACTCAACACGCTCCCTCGAAGATCCACAACTGAAGGCACTGTTCGGCAACCGCAGAAGCTGCAGCGTTCCAATTTTCAGCTTAGACTTCTTCGGGCACATCGACGGATGCTGAAGCCTGTTGACAACGCCCATTCTGTTTTTCCTTATGTCCCAACGAGTTCCAACTTTCTATGCTATCATGTTGTATTCATGATCGTGAAGAGGTCGGGCGATTGCCATTTACCAGCTTCAACCCATAACCTTTCATGCTTGTGATTTATGTTTGCATCCGAGAAGACTGTATGGAAATGAATGGTGAGGAAAAGAAGGCTGACAGTCATGATGACTATGCTAAACAACGGCTAGGATGCCATATCATTTTATCATCATGTCGTATGTGAGGTTGATTAGATTTATGAGTGGCAGGTCTTGGCACCTCTGAGACGAGGTAAATCGATTAATTCTGTGAGTTATTTGGTATTGTGAGTTTCTTGTGAGCAGTAGGTGTGATGCTTTGATGTGCGAGGATTTAGCGGAATCTGTGGAGGCGCTCACAGGCCCAAGACCACCATTTCCTTGTGGATTTACGATAGAATCGAGCACCGGGCCTCTGTGAGCGGGGCTGTGAGGTTTGTGCGAGCGGGGCTGAGAGCGCGGGCCGGCCCGGCCTCACTGTCAGGCCCCGCTTATAGAATTCTCACCGGTACGCTAACCGAAATTTCACAGAGCTGTCCGCGCTCACAGGTACCGCTCACACAATCCCTCACAGAAAATTCACATAGGAATCTTGTAAAATTCATTCCACATATCCAGAGCTTGCAAGGCCCTGCAACTCTTAAGGTGAGATGTGTATGCAAAAGATCCGTAGATGGTAGATGATTTTCTGCAGTCGATTTAGCAGCTGCTCAATAAGTAGCTGTATGTAAATTCGTATATATGTATAGCATATCATGTCATATCACATCGTATCATCTCATATCGTATCAAATTAAATACGTATATTTAGTTGTATGACATGAGTCAAGCTTCATACCTCTCTCGCGTGACGGACATGTGTGGAGCCTTGCCAGCTGTGTGCGAGAGTGAGAGTCGAAATGCGTATAGATACATACATACATACATACATACATACATATGTATCTATATATATATATATATATGCACAGTCGCACAGACAGTGTGTGTATCCATCTATCTATCTGTCTATCTATCTATCTATCTATCTATCTACTTGTTGCCCCGGCGGGCCACGTTTGGATGGCTTGAGCTATCCTGTTGTGGTGCGCTGCAAACGGTCTTGGCTCAGTTTGTGCAACGTCTTCTCATGCTACATGGAGACTTTATTCGTGGTGCAACTGCTATGTGCTGCTGCTGTCATATCACTGCGTGGCACGCTCATGCGGACGATTTTGCACACACAAACAACTCGCAACGGCTACCTCGACTGGCATAGAAGAAACTCCAGATGCATGGGCGCATGTGAAGTCCTTGTAGTAGTTTCGGTAAGGTCCAACTTCTCGTACTTCAATTTCATTGCAGATACACGCACATAGCGAAATCGCTGTGTCTTGCATCGCGGCTGACAGGTAGAGAGAGTGGTAAACAATCGCTTCTTCGCTAGAACTCTCCTGATGCCCAGGCAGGGGACACAGCAGCGGCTGGTGGCCTACGTGATCATGCCTGGAGGTGATCAAGCGACTTTGCGCGCCGCTTGCACCAGCCGTCTCCCTGCCTACATGGTGCCAGCACAGGCACAGCTGCCCAGAATGCGAGTTCCAATTGCCTGCGTGTCACCTACACATGATATCATGAGACGTTTGAAGTTGGAGAGGTGGTCTTCTTGGAAGCCATGCCGCGGACAGCCAGTGGCAAAATTGACCGCAAGGCACTGCCAGCACCACCGGAGCCACAAGGGGAGAGCGAGGAGGCGGTGCTTGTGGTGGAGCCGCGAGACTCCCTGGAAGAGCGCATCCGCGAGATCTGGGCCAAGGTGTTGGACCGTGCACCTGAGAGCTTCTTGGCTCCACTTCGACTTGCACGGGAGTCCTCTTGAGCAATAAATACTTCAAGGGACTTTGCCGAAAAGCCCAGGTCTCAGCGTGGAAGCAGATTGGCCTCTGGTCGGTGGCAATTCCCTTCTGGCCGGGAAAGCAACTTCACTTTTGCGCAAAGAGCTGGGCGTGCAGCTGCCAGGGACGGCCATGCAAAGAGACAGCAACGAGCGCAAACAATTTTAGTTTTGCCGAATATGAAGAACTCTTTCTTGCGATAAAGGTGGCGGCTGCGTTAAGAGAAGAAACCTGAACGGTGACAGCATTATGCAGCATAGGCATAGACACTCAAACAAGGTTTTTGGTGATTGTCACGCATATCTGTATCAAAAACAGTGATATTTGCCACAAGGTACACCAACAGCACGATTGCCAAGCTGGCCCTTTTGGCGTCGAAGCTCGGAGCTACCGTTTCAGGTGACGAGCCCAAGCCTGCCGAGACGAGCCAGGCACCGAATCACTATGATGGATTCAGACCATATTCAGACCGCCACAGTAGTGGTCTCTGTTGTGGAGCCTCAAGTCCTCAAGACCCAAAACCCCCTACTCGTTTGCCTTTTTCCTTCGGGGGCGGCTTATTTTCTGCAAACCCCCATGTTCTTTCATGACGTGGAGCCCGTGTTAACATCAGAATATGTAAGTTTTTGCCCGTGTGAATCAGTATATTCATGTTTGCATGCCTGCGTGCATCCGTTAGATGGCTTTTATACGTGGAGAACAGTCTTGTGTGCCAAGAGGCAGTCTCTGGGTGTCTCTGCACTACGAGTACGTTCGACACGTTTCCAGTTTGTGGTGCTGCAAGTGTTATTAACCCCCATTAAAGTTCCAGCTACATGAACTTTGCATCTGTATTTTTATGCTACGTGTCTTTCATCGTTATAGCGCTGGACCACGTGCACCCGCATCCTGGTATGTGCATTTCCTCAGCATAACAAAACATTGGCCAGTGCACTAGAGCTAAACGCAAGGTAAACTGTGTAAATGCGCGTCAGGCCAGTGCAATTCTAGCACAGCAAGCTTCTTGAAGATGCTATGTATGTATGTATGTATGTATGTATGTATGTATGTATGTATGTATGTATGTATGTAATGTATGTATGTATGTATGCATTTGTATATACCTCATATATATATATATATATTCATGTATGTGTATATATATATAGACATACATACACACATA